GGTGCGTACTTATCAGAAATGTCGATGTAGCGTAGGGCTTTTGGTTCGAGCTTCTGTAGACTTGGCAATCGACACTTGGCTTCGTCCCCCCTTCCCCCCGGTCTCTCCGTCTTCATAGTTGTTGGCGAGTACCCCGGCACTCGATCCAAACAAGAATCTAGGAGTGCCAAGACTTCTGGACTTGGAAGTTATTACGAAAGATAATCCAATGACGTTTTCTCACTGCTACTTATTGAGCTCAGGTTGCGCACTTCGTTGCCGCGTAGCCTCTCGGAGAAGTCCCGACAGGCTAGGGAATCTGGCTTCTATGCCAACCCCACAGCCTCAAACTAGTCTTGTATTGATATCGAGGAGACATCATACACGTTACCAAGCGAACAGTCAACGGACGTAAGGAGATCTCCTCACGAAGCTGAAGTTTGCGGGATCTAGCCAATCCCATGGTCTCTAGGAGGTCTTGAATGGTTCATTCGCAACAGACTTACACATTCTCATCGTTTGCGGAGTATACAAGCCTTAAGCATCTTCTAGAAACGTGGAGTTCCGTTTGAAATTTGATTGCAGTTTTCAGAATACCTACTCATGTGGCATGAGATTCACATGTTCCTCTTGTAGCTACTCGGTCACTGTCCAATAGGAATAAAAATAAGTTTTTTATCACCTCTGTCTTGCCGGCCTCATCATTCATGAAGCAACAGAAACCATATTCGGCTAGCTGTTGTCAAAAGAAATCGCGCATAGCAAAGGCGCAATGATTAAGCTCGAAGAAACTCCAGCTGACGGCAAAGCCTCTCTCGTGTCGTGTTCCGGACACTGCTATAGCATAAATTGCCAGGAGAAGAACAGAAATTGTGGTCATCCCCCATCCCACATTCTATAAGGTGTTCATAGGTTTCATCTTTATAATTATTACGGTCTATATTTATTTATATTCTCTATTTTACAGCCAACGTCGTACTTATTCCTAATTTTAATAAAGAACCGTTCTTTGTATTTGATATTGATGCCTCTATTATAACTATACGACAAAGAGACTATAGCAGCAACATGTAGCGATATTATGTCCGCAGAATGAATTCCTATTTCAGGATACCTCGGCACGATCTAGTCCGCCTATTGCCTGCCGACTTACAGTCTAAGATGGTTGCCAAGGCAAGAAATGAGCACAAGGGCTGTCACATTTGTGGGAGTGATGTCTGGGGGGGAAAAGGTTCAGTTGGAATTAAAATACGAAACCAACATATTCCAGCACAGCACCGCCATCTAATCCCAACCACCTAAAACCCTTCTACATAACATCATTATGTGCTTTGTATGTATAACGCTCAAATCTCCTTGACAAATCCAACCTCCACAACCCTATCCATCGCCAGCCTCAGGTTCGCAATCTTGGCCCGGGTATTATCCCGAATCCACAAGAACGTACCCAAGGTGAAGCGCCGGAGAATGCTCGTCCCCGTCCGAATGTGCATCTGCCCCTTGCCGACAATATACAACACCTTGTGCGAATAAGCACGATCCAGCTTCGCCAGCTCCGCCGCGACTTTCTCGTCCCGAAGCTCCACGGGCCCCTCAGTGTCTTCCCATGAGCCGTCCGTCGTCGTCTCCCCGCACGCAGTGGCCGCCTTGCTCGCCGCCTGCTGCACGACGAACTTGCGCACCTGCTCGTAGATCAGCGCGCCGAGATCGGGACTGACGACTTCATCCATGAAACCGTGGCGGACGACGAGGCGATAGCAGCCCGCCAGATTTGCGAACCGCGAGATGTGGTAGCGCTCTGAATCGGGAACGGTGGGGACCTCGACGGGGTGGAGATGGAAGAACACCGCCACGTCGGGGAGCGCGCCGAGCTTGGAGGCAAAGTGCGTGAAAACGCTGGGCGTCTGCACGCCCGTCTTATCAAAGAAGATACCGAAACCGCTGACAGGGGAAAGCACATCGCCGCCCCAGCGCTGCGTGAGCGCCAGCATGCCCTCCTTGTTCTTGGTGACGAGCGTGCTTGGCTGGAACCGATCCTCGGCCTCGGCGCGCCACTGGTTTTCCTTGCCGAAGCGCCAGAGAAGGAACATGCCGGCCATGAGGGCGGAGATGAGAAGCGTGAACCACGCGCCGTCGGGAACCTTGTTGAGTGCCGAAGAAAGGTAGAGGCCGTCGAGGGTGGCGAACATCAGGGCTGGCAGGGCAATGAGCCAGACTGGCAGGCGCCAGACGAGGATGGCGACGAGGGTGACCATGAGAGTGTCGAAAAAGGTGACGAAGATGACGCAGACGCCGTAAGCGTGACCCAAACTGGTTGTGTTGTTGTAGACTGCCGTGACGAGGATGGTGCCGAGCATGAGGAGCCAGTTGAGCAGGGGCACGTAGACCTGGCCGTGGAAGGTGGAGGAGGTGTGGACGACCTTCATCTGGGGGCAGTAGGAGAGTTTCATGATCTGGCTGGAGAGCTGGAAGGTCGCCGTGATGATGGCTTGCGAGGCGACAATGGCGGCGAGCACGGCGAGGATCAAGCTCGGGTAGAGCATGCCGGGGGGCACGGTGTTGAAGAAGGGGTTGGTGTACTTCTCCGGCATGAGGGCGAGATGGGCGGCCTGTCCGCTGTAGGCGAGGATCAGGCAGGGGTATGTCCAGAGCAGCCAGCTCATCTGGACGGCGCGCATGCTGAAGGCACCGAGATCGGCGAAGAGGGCTTCGACACCGGTGAAACAGAGGAGAACGCCGCCGAGCATCCTCCAGCCCTCCGTCTTCTTCTCCATGAAGAAGTGGATCGCGTAGTAGGGGCTGAATGCCTTGAGGACGGTGTAGTCATACTTGACGAGGTTGTAGATGCCAAAGGCACCGTTGAAACCCAGCCAGATGATGACGATGGGCGCAAAAGTGGTGGCGAGCTTGGTGGTACCGAGGGGTTGGATCAGGAAGAGCAGAACGAGGATACCGCAAGTTGTGCCGACGATGGTGGAGGTGCTGATGTCGGGCTTGACGACGGAGAGACCCTGGATGGCACCCAGGACAGACTGCGCGGGGGTGAGGATACCGTCGGCGATGACCATGGAGACGGCGAGGACGCCGATGGTCTTGAGGAAGCCTCGTGTGAATTTGGACTTTTCAATGGCGGAGCGGATGCCGCGCGTGACGGGGCGGACGTCTTGGGTGTTGTGGCGTTCGATGCGTACTGTTGCTTCTTCGCGGGGATCGAAGTTTGTGATGTTGGCCTTGGTGGTGTTAGAGCACGTACGCGTAGAAAGGGGGAAGCATCAGTGTTTGAGGCTGATTCGACTTACAAATCGGGTCAAGAGGGAGTAGCACGAAAAGGTACCACCCTCGCCCTCGTTATCGGCGTGTAAGACGATGAGGACATATTTGGCCGTGACCATGAGAGTGAGGGACCAGATGATGAGAGAGAGAACCTGGGTGAGGTCGTTCTTGGTGGGAAGATCAGTGAAGGTGGACGAGTATACGTAGAGAGGACTAAGCGGTTGTCAGCAAAACAAGAAACCTCCGTACGCGTTTCTTGATCCAAACTTACCTGGTTCCAATATCGCCGTAGATGACACCAATAGACTGGTACGCAAGCCTTTCAAACCCATCAGCACATAAACCCCCTCAAACCCTTACAGAGGGAGCGCATCACGACCAAACAACATACCACATCAACGTCGTGCCAGTGAACACCTGCTTCTTCCTCCCATCATCGCGACGCCAATCATCGCCACCATCATCAGCCTCAGCATTCGATTCCCTGGTAATGGCGCGCGAGAGGCGGTTCGAAGCGACGCGGTTCAGATCGCGGCTAGAGTAAATTCCACCGGCGATGCCTGAGCTGGAGCCTCCATCGGGACCGGGGCGCGGAAAGGTAGACCACTCGTCGACGGTCGAACCGGACTTGTGCTTCTCGAGCTTGTCTTCGATTGTGATTCTGGGAGCGCTCGGGGTTGTTGGGGTGCCTTGGGCGTCCATGCCAGGCTGGAATTCTATTTCAGGGGGTGGAAAGGTTGAGAAATGGGAAAGGGGAGGGAAAGAAAATGCGCCGGCGTAAAGCACAGCGAGTGAGAGATGAGACCTAACAAAATAGCAGGATCCTGAGGGCAGAGAATATCTAGCAAAGTGGTAAAAAGGGGACTTCACAAGAACCAATACACGATAAGATCTTGCGGTTGAAGATCGAAAGGGCGGGATGCGACTTCTTTAAGCCCCGGGAATTTGGAATGACAGGGTCTTGATGTTTCTGGGTTGCCCTACCCTAATCTCAGGATTAAATCTTTGTCTCAAAAGACAAAAGACAAAGACGGCAAAGTTGGATGAAGGAAGGGGAGAGAGTGGGGGTGCCATGAGGGATCTTGGTTCATCTTGCCCATCTCGGGGACCCTCGAAGAGAGTTGCAGAGAGGCAGGCCAGCATGGCGGTCAAGGCTAGCCCGGCTAGTGTAACGGGAATTTCGATGCATCCTTGATGAAGCGGCCCTAGTACCGACGCGGCCTCTACTTTTTGTCAATTAGCCCCGGAGAGCAAAAGCCACCGGGCCCATATTAGCATCGAGGAACGACTGGGCGGTCGACAACGACGGCCATCCCCGGGGGTGGCATTCCAGGAATCCAGCCCACTTGTCCCCCTTCCCACCTTCTTGACGTTACCCACCTCGGGGCCTACTTGTGAGATCCCATGTGGCATGTGGCGTGCAGGTTTCCCATCTGCACATATGCACGGGCTTATCTGTGAACAGACGGGGATGCCCCTCCCCCTTTGGGTGCTTATGAGAAAGAGTTTGATGACAGAAACAAGACTGTCACAAGCTTTCTTCGATAATGGGGGTTGGCCCTTCGGAAGCGGAGCGGCCATGACTAGGTGCTCTTCCTTCGGCTCTGGGGTTGGATGGGCTCGTGTAGTGTACTTCAGGCGAAGTGCGGCAAGGTGTGCCGGGTGGGAGGAAGGCCGGATGATGCAGGTGAGGGAATGAGCGCCCGCTGCTATGTATGTGCCGACATTCTGTAAGTAGGCTGTATCCATCAAGTGGTGATGATGAATGTCTTTTCTGCGAGACTGCTTGCGAGTAGGTAGACTGAGTGGAGGGGCCGGTTGGCAGGGGTAGCTTGCGTAAAGGTAGGGGTAGAGGCGGCTCTCCTCCAGTCAGAGATAGTGGGAGAGCACGCAGTACCTAGAGTCTTTGACTCTTTTGAGGCTAAGAATGCGGTGTTCGCGGGACCCGTAACCATAGTTGAGTTGGTGGTGTCAATTTGCACACGGCCATTGAGGCAGCTCCGGCGGCTTTGGACAGCCAAAGGATGAGGCTCGAAACTTTTGGCTTTCCATGGCAGAAAACGGGCCACACTCGCAAGAATGATGACGGCGTCTCTGTCCCTCTCTCGCGCGAAGCTTGTTGAAGGTGGGATGCCGCTGGCCATGTTGTCTCTTGCTAAGAGTCTCTAGCGCATTTTCAGCTCTCGACTTCTACACCCTCTCGCGATGCTAGGTATGTCTGAGTTGTTGGTTTTCTCTGCCAGTCTGACCTGATGTTGCTGCACGTGCCAGTGATCCAATATGCTGCCAAGCCCTGACTACAGCGCGTCTGTGAGAGCAGTCACCAAGGTGGGATGGATCCTTGGCCCTTTACTTTTTTCCCTCCGAACAACTAGAGCCAACTTGCCAAGGCGGCGCCCAAAAGAGCCAAGCTGCGGGCGTAGGGGAAATTGATGTTGACGATGTGGTCCGTGGATGGATGGGGGGCATCCAGGGAAGTGAATACCCAAAGGAGGATGGGATCTGTCAGACTGTGGCCGGGCTCTGCTCTTCAACTTTGAAGCAGCAACATAATGCCTCACTATGTTCACAGTCCAACTCTGGCCACTTTACGCCGGATGCCGGTCTTTGCCGTACCTAGGTAAATGGTCCGGGCTGTGTAGACTGTAGGGCATGACTAGACGGTGATGGGCAGAATGACAGACCTCGGGAGGTTGGACTCTTAGCTTTAGAGTGAAAGAGAGAAGAGAGACGGGGCAAAACAGAATGGAGGGAAGATGGGCGTCGGGAGGCAGCCCGAGCTAAGATGCTGGGTTCTAACATAGTAGCATGTACTCCGTGTGTACCTATCCATAGTCAGAGTTGAATGCAGACAAAGAAGGGGCAGGTGGTGGGAGGTGGGAGGATGCAAGCGACACGCCCGTAGCTACCCCTGCCATCCCCGGAGGGTTTCTGCGGGGACATGCAAAACAAGTGGGTCCTCTCGAGAATAAAGTGGACCGAATGTTCGGAGGCAAGAACGGGTATCTGGACCCACCCGGCCGTGTTTGGTTTGTTTAGAGCTGCTAAGCTTCTGCTAGCGCCCGCCAAGCGTGCCGCATCCAAATCCTTAACAATTTCCAAGAGGTCGGCTATCCGCCCTAAGAAAAGGCGACTTTGGTCATGACAATCTCATCTAACCGAAAAAAAAGCCTCATATTTGAGTCTCTCCGTCAAACTTTTTGGCGTGAGGGAATTTTTGGGCAAACATGGTCCCATTGGACCGCCAAGACATTGCTCACTTTTGTTTGCCAAGACTTTTCGTCTCTCCTCCCACTCTTTGGAGTCTCTGGCCTGTTTACTGCGTATGTGTACGAAGCACACGGCTAGTTGTTTTGCATAGCCACGCGGGATACTCGATACAGCTCTCGTGCCCGTCACTTTTCCAGCTTTCTTTTGCCTTCCCATCCCATTAACAGACTGGTCAACAGACGATCAACAGAGCTGACTTGCCCATGTTTGATGACAACTGACAGATCCAATCCAGTTTACGCCCGCGTGTCGCGCCTGGCACGGACTCTGGCGATGCTGGTAAGATTGCATCGCATGCCTGACCGTCCCAGACTGTTGGAATCAAGCCAGGGTGAACATTGGTCTGTGACACCCGTGATGCCATGAACCGAGAGATGCTTACTGTCGGTTGATCTCTCTTCTCTCCGTGACCTAGCTAGGGCAATGTCCGATGTCACACGGGACTCGCGAACCACAGCCTGTCGCATCTGTCAACCCAAAACTCAATCTTTCTTCGGGACTGACTATCAGAGTAGTCCGTCAAGTCCCAAGTAGCCTGCATCGCACGGCGCCGACACCATGGTACACCGCCCAAGCCAAACAGGCGTGACAAGATGCGCGTCATTCCTACGCGAGGTCCGGTAGTCCGTACATCTGGGTCCAATCAATGCTCTATTTCATTTTGTCGCTTTTTGTGCTTTTAACTGATTTACTCCACTCCGATCAAGCCCTTCCCGGAACATATGTGCGCCACAGAAACTATGCCACTCTAGACAAGTCCTGGCGACGATAATGTCGGATCGCAGATATGACTGAGCCTTCCAACATCCTCTTCCTAAAAGAACACCCTAATCCATCTGATCAACAGTCTGCGCAGACCCATTCGTCTTGGCCTCCCCCACGACCGCCGTGCCGTCCGCCTCGCTGACGACAAAGTTCCATCCAAACTCGTCCTTGAGCTTGCCGAGCTGGATAGCCTGCAGCGTCGACAGAAGCTTCAGGCAGATATCGCCCGCCTCCTCCTGGCTCTCGGGGATGAACGTCACCGTCTCCTCGCCAGCCTTGGCGCTGCTGACGCGCTCCTGAGAGCTGCCGGCGAGGGACTGGGGGGAAGAGGCGTCGACGCGCCGCGTGATGGAGCGGATAGGCACCAGGGCTGCTGCCGTGCCGGCGGCCATGACCTCGGTGAAGGTGGGGAGTTCGCTGTACTTGATCTGTTGTGCATTTTGGATTAGCATAGTTCCTTGAACTTTCCAAGGTGGTATGATAGATGCTCGAAACTCACCACTCGCTTCTCAACCGTCCAGCCGAAGCTACGGCCAATATCCTGGATACTGGCGCTCGTCACGCTGTCAATAACGCACTTGGAATCCGGCACGACAAGCGTAATCTTGTCGCCCTCCTTCTTGGCACCAATGAAACCACTTGTGCTAAACTCGTCAATCTCCTCGTGCTTGACACTGTCGAGATGCAGCGTGATCCCGTATCCCTCGCTCCTCGCGCGGTCACTGAAGCGCAGCACGGGCGCGTAGTTTCCGCCCACCTTGGCGTGTCCGGTACCATTGGGCGCAGCACGGTCAAAGTCGTCGAGAATCAGCGCGTTTACAGGGTGGCTGCCGTGGTAGACGCCCGTGGGGATGACAAACACGGCGAAAATGTACTCCTCGGGCGGGCTGAGGCCCAGCTGGGCGGAGGAACCGTAAAGCTGGGGGCGAATGTACATGGCGGCGCCGGTCCTGTGGGGCGGGACGTAGCCGGCGTTGAGGGAGACGGCGGCCTTGACGGCGGCGATGAAGAGGTCTTCGGGGACGCGGGGCATGGAGGCGACGTCGGCGGAGTGTTGGAGGCGTTTTGCGTTCTTGTCGGCGCGGAAGATGTTGATTTGCTTGTCACCCGGGGCGCGGAAGGCCTTGAGGCCTTCGTAGGCTTGTTGGCCGTAGTTGAGGGCGGGCGCCATGCCGTGGATGCGCATGAAGGGGTCGGCGACGAACTTGAGGGGGGTCCATTTTCCGGTCGTGACGGAGTAGGTGGACTCGATGTGGCCGTTGACTGTAGTTGACGACGTTAGTTTGTGGTTGCTTAACGAAGACGAGCATTGCAAGAGAGGTGGGGTTTAAGGAGGGGCAGTGTTGGGAGGAAGCTCTTACCTTCGCGGATCTTGAAGCCGACGTTGGACCAGTCAATGGTGTTGACCGGAGGGGGCGGGAAGGCAGCCATTGTGAGTATCGTGTGTGATTGTATCGAGACTCGGGAATCGTGTGTTCGTTGATCGCAGGTTGAGTCTGTTGATGTTCGGGACTCGCGGAGGGGTGGATGGCGGGGTGAGTCTTAAGTCAATTGGATCTGACAATTCGATGTGGTTCGATGCTGACGAAAACTGATATCCACTATGGATCTCACGTAATAGCCTCCGTAAAGCTGGTTTCAATACAATACAATGGCAGATTGATCGTGGAGGGGAAATTGGGTCAGGAGTCATAATTTCGTGATTTGCTTGGGCAGAGTTCAAACTTTTGGAGGGGCGCCGATCTCGGGACTGCGGGGTGCCCGCCTCCGCCGTGCGTCTGCCCCTTTTGGTGTGCCGTGATTGGCTCATTGCTTACTGAGATGGCGGGGCGCCCCTGGCGTAGCCTCCGTCTGCCGGAGGGCCGCATCTGCCAGACGCGAGGGGCCGACGGGATGGTGGTAGCAAATATTTGACAGCTCGATGGTAGGTAGACTATTCGTGATTAAGTAGGATCCATTGACTTGATATGATGTCATTCCTGTAGTCTCGCACACGCGACAGCTGCAGGATGGACGGTCGAGGGCACGTGTAGATCAGATGAACTCTGCCGGCGTTGAGGGGAATGTCTTGGGGTTTCTGCCTTGGTGTCCAAGTATAATGCATGCATGTTGTATCAAGTCTATATAAGGCTGCTTGAACTGTACGCAAAGTACTGTCTATCCATTGAATAGACAATGGTTCAACATACAGGTCTTCACATGAGGCATACCAGGGAAGGCACATCGATCGGAGCGGCCCGGTTGATGGCTTCCACGTGGGCCTCTCACTATGGGTCTTGTAGGTTCCCAAGATGGATAGTCACGTTCTCATGGGGAGCAAAATCGAAGAGGCGGATATAACCAACCACATCTTCTTGTTTTTGAGGAGAAGTCTGTAGGTTCTCTAGGTTCTAGAAGGCAATGTTCATGTTAAGCAAGACCGAACGGAGTTTCCGTTTCAAAGTTGAGTATGTGCTGCTCAGGGTAACACAACACCATAGAAGAATGCAGAGTTGAAGAGATGAACCTTCAACCAGTTAGGATAGACCTCGTGATCGGCTCTATACGGCGAGGACCACGAACTTGGGTTGGAGAAGGAGGAGAAAATCAAAGAGGAGTCTTATCAGCGGTGGGTCTTCCCCACGACCGGGATGTGTCACCCGGGCCGCCTGTTTATCAATTACCCTGCAAAGCAAATGTGCGGGGACATTCCAGTCTCTGCCATCTCCCATCTGCCACCCATTCATCCATGGTTCAAACCCATGCGAGCCCATATCATGCCGATAAGACGGGGGGCTGAATCCTTAACCACTTATCGCCTCAGCATTAACGAGCTATCTTCGAGTCCGAGTCCAGCCCGAAGACCCCGGATTACAGACAGAACATAGACTAAGCTGGGTTCAACTACCATAGCGACTAAATTTCCCCTAATGGAACATGCCTCCCGATAGTAGCCTCATACATCTTGACGACTCATACATCTCTACGTACGGGAACAATACATCTCATTGACGCGTCTTGGATCATCATTTACTGCGGAGCCTGGACCCTCCACTCCAGAAACCCACCCTATCGCAGCAACGCCAGCCTCTACCCTCTGGGGCTTCTTGACGTCTCCCTTGTGGTGATGGACGATGCTCGATATGCCAAACGAGCACGCCAGGCCTGCGAGCCATGTCGGTACGGAGGATCCGTGGTTCTTGCTATTCATAAGACTCTAACAACAATGATAGTCGCAAAAAGTCAAAGTGCCCAGGCGAGCGTCCTACATGCTCATATTGTGAGCGACTGGGACAACAATGCGTTTACAATGCGCCTGGCGGCGAGGTGCCAGACTCGCAACTCACAAAGCACAACAGAGAGATGGTTCGTTTTCCAGTCTAGGTTTGACTTGAGTATGCGACGGTGCTAATTCGAGGTCCGCGTCGTTAGGAAACCCGACTCAATAGTCTAGAGGATAAGATGGACCGCTTGATCCAGCATCTGAGGTTCGCCAACATTGTTCAGGCAGCACAGTAGCAAAAGCAACTCACGTTTCTAACTTGAAGTAGTCCTGTGTCACATCATACCCAACCATCCGTCGCGTCTCGCCATGTGCTCTCACCAAGGCTCAGCGTATCTGCAGAGGAAGTAGGCCCAAAACCAGACTCAGCTCCGCCAGCATGGAGTCCTACGTATGTAAACGTCAATCATGCAATCGATTCCATTCTCATCCCAAACATCTGCTTATACTCGACAACCCAGAAGCCCATCAAGTGCCGCCGAGGCGCAGTTGATGGACACAGGGCGTCGCTACCTCTTATGGTTCCACGCCCAGCCCATCACCCTATTCGCTGAGGAGACCTTTCTGCATTCTCTCGCCTCGCGAGATCCAGAGCTGATCCTATCGCTCCAAGCCCTGGTCCTAAGATGTCCGCCAGGGTCCCTCACGAACCAGATCAAACAGCAGGTGGACGACCTCGCAAGATCGGCCCGCCGCATGGTCATGGAGCGAGTCACGGAAGGGCGCGTCGAGCTGTCGACGTTGCAGTCACTATGTCTCCTGAGCATGTTTGATTTCGCCAGTAAGTGTTCCGAAAAGGAGTCATTCCTTCATCATCATCATCATCATCATCATCACCTAGCTGACATGCCCTCGTAGCTGGTAACATTATGCAGTCCGGGCTTAGCATCACCACGGCGAGCCACCTCGCGCACAGCATCCCACCAACAAACAACCCCAACAACGCTCAAGAAAGGAACTACTGCCTCAGGACAATCATCGTCCTCCAGCATCTCCAGGGCTGCATAATGCCCGCCCCGCGACTCATGGGCGCCCTCCCGGGCCCCTCCTCCACCAACAGCGGCTCTCACGTCCTCGGTCTCACAGCATACTGCGGCATCCCAGAGTACAACCTCGACGACAACCCAGACAAGAACATCTCCACCGTCGCCTCCGACTTCTGCGTCGTCTGGAGAATGGTTCGTGTCTACGCATCCTCCAAAGTCAGCCCCGACGCACCACCGCCCTGGGACTCTCGCTCCGATTACTCCATGGTGCTGCAGAGCCACCACGACATTGACTGCCGAGCGCCGCAGAGGTTCCGCTTCGCAACGAACCGTATCGATCAGCAGAGTCCTGAGTCTCTACAGGCGCAGCGGCAATATTGGATTCCCTTCCTCTTCAGCCAGTTCGTCCACGAGACTATCCCGTGTCTCCTGAACCACCCTTTCCTGCTGTCCATGCGCCTGCGGCATTTCCGACACACCATACCCGTACATTTCATCCAGCAGTCTTTTGAGAGTATGAATCGGACTGCCGGCTGGATCATCTTCTTCTTGGACGTGATTGAGAAGAAGTCGCTGCCGGTCATGGACCCGGTCATGGCGCACTGCGTCGTCATCGTGGCGACAATTCATCTACAGCATAGTTTCGTCCATGATCAGGTACTCAGGAGCAGAGCAAAGTCAGGCTTCGAAAAGTGTATGAACTTTTTACGAAAAACAGGAGCCGTCTGGCCAAGCGTCGCCAACATGGTACGTCGCCCTTTGCCCTTGTCCAATTTACACTCTCAAACTCTTCATAGACGGAACTAACCATCTCTCAGGCAAGCAACCTCCGACGCCTCCAAGACAGCGTCGTAATGAAATCACCCCCTGATCGCGGCGACAACACCTCCCAAAACCGCTCATTCTCCATCAATACCCAACTCCTCTGGGACCTCCTCATCTACGACCGCGCCTGTCGCCCCGACGCAGGCTGGGACCAGTCCATGTTCGGCGCCACCCTCCGCTCCGACGCCCGCGAGCTCTCCACCGAGACGGGCGCCGCTGAATTTGACCTCGTCGGCTCAGCCGGCATCTCGGGCCACAAGGCTGTGCCCAATGACGTGGGCGTGTACGCTCCCAATGACGACATTGCGCCTGTGTCGATTGCGGAACAGGCCCCAACTTCGTCGCACCTGGTCGGGCAGGGGCTGGGTGATATGGGGCCGTCGTTTGAGGATATCTTTTTCGAGGGCGTAGGACCGTTTGGGGATCAGTCGAATCGTTTTATTGAGGCGAATGATTACGGGAGAGCGATTGATGATTGGTTGAATCTTGAGAATTAGCACATTATCATGACAAAAAGCTGTACAGCAATAACGACTCTATCTCCATTCACAGTCTATCACAATGTCTTCGTGCCCGTTAGATGATCTCTTAGTGTGATCCTTGGTTGCTCCCAGTTCCAGTCAAAACATCCATATCGGCCTCAACATCGTTCTTGTGGCGATTCCAGAATGTCTTCATCTCCAGATGATTGGCCCAAGCATTATCACCAAAGGCTTAGGAACGCTTAGGAACGAAACCGGTCTGAATGTAAGATCACCTTATAGGCAGCACAATTCGAAGTGATCATTCTGATCAACACGCCAGAGAAGTCGCTAATCAATTTGTCTCCTTGCGCACCCAAAATCAAGGCTTCAACCAAACTCGCGAAGCACTCAACAACAAACGAAATGCTAGTCTACAATATGACGTCCACTGCTCTCCGTCGATGCTCACCAAGCCAACCCCTCAATCTGCCCCTGCCCAGCCCCACAATCAAGACTCCGACAAAACGACACATCCTCCCCCGTCTTGTCAGAGACATCGTGCTTGGGCGTCGCTGGCCAAATCTCGCCGCCCTCCTTATCTTCTTGCTCCTTGTGCCGCATCACAAGGTTCCGCGTAATCTCTTGGAAGAAGAGCGGTCCCTTTTCTACGCGCGGGTGGAGCTCCCCGTTCATGAAAACGCCCGCGTTCAAATTCTTCTGCGCGCCGTTGCAGAGGTCTTTGTCTTCGCGGAGGACCTGCTTGAAGAAGTCCGAGATGTAGTTGAAGGCTTCGTCGGTGGCTTTGTTGTGGCGGTAGACTTCGTATTCCATCTTGGATTGGGTTGATGAGACCGGGACGCAGCGTTGGATGTACATGAAGTCTGGGCTATGTAGACAAAATTGTTAGCCAGCATTCTTATGTGCTTTGAAAGTTTGTGAGTCGAGGGGGAGGGATTCTTACGTGACCGTCATGGATGCGTTAGGGTAGAGGTAGCAGCTGTGAATGCCCAGACCAGGAACGGTCTCCTTGTCGACGTTCCAGTGCTGGATCCAGTTTCCTTGCGTTTCGACCCAGTACCTTGTCAGGTCAGTGGTAGCAGCCACTGCAGGGTGACCAGTCTGGCAATGATAGCACTACGTTTTGATATCACAGTCAGCCTCAATCTCCGGAGAACACCCAAGCTCTCACAACTCAAGGATAAAATTTGCAAACGTACCTCATTGTAGTTATCCGCAAGCGTCTTCCAGTTGTAATCACCCAGCATGTCCCACGTGTGATCAAAGTGGTAGTCATCCAAATTAAACCCCTCCAACCGCGGCTGCGTATCCACCTCGGCGAAGAACTCCTCCCACGGTACCGACGGCTTCTCCGCGCCATCCAGATTCACCCAGATGAAGCCGAGCTGATCTACATGAACATGGACCTTGAACAGACTGTTCTTGCTTTTATCGAACGAGGGCAGCTCTTGGTACTTGGGCGCCTTGGCCAGCTTGCCGTCGAACCCATACGACCATGCTAATATACTAGGGTAAGCATTGCACATTCTGACCGATAGAATCTTGTTGAATAAAGTAACTTACCGTGATAGTTGCAAGCAAGCACACTCATATGTCCGCTGTCCTTCTCCACCAGGGGGTACGCGCGGTGCCGGCAAATGTTGTGGTGACCCCTGATCTCGCCCTTGCGGTCCTTGACGAGAAAGAAGTTGAAGCCCGCCTGGGTAATCTGCACAAAGTCACCAGCCTCGACGAAGCGCGCCTTGTGAGAGACGAGCATCCATCGTTTAGAGAAGATGGCTCGCCTCTCTAGCTCGTACATGGCTGGAGAGCGGTACCATATCGCGGGCAGAGCACGGACGGCCTTTGGCTCGTCGGGTTCCGTTGCGGCGGAAGGTTTGCTGAGGCCGAACCAGCTCATGTTTGCAAAAATACGCTGGGATACAAGATAGAGAGATTTTGGTATAAATCTGGTTCAAAAGACTTTGTTGAACAAGCTCTAGAGTATGACAGGGAGTTGGACTGACAAAATGCGAAAAGAAATCTCGTCTTTAGCTCACGATTATACTAGCTTGCGGAAGATGTTGCAATATTCACTATTTGTAACAGTACACACAATCCCTGTTCATGATAACGACTCCGCAGTCCGGAGTCTACTCCATCGCTGTGAGGTATGCAATGGGGATCATCCCTTCGAACGTCGGAGTACGGAACCGAGAAAGTGGGGACGGACCGGGCCTCCGGATCCATCTAATCCGGTGGATTACCCCGATCCAGGAGATAAACGTCCTTGTCCGCCTCCGTGGCGTCCCTATCTTGAGCCATTGAGAAACTCTACGCCTATCGGTTTGTTATGATTGTCTCACATTCGATTTGCTCAGAGGATATGGAGGTTTGATGTTGCAATGGGAACGACGCCCGTACAGTTTGTTCTTATCTGCACTCCGCGCATCACACGGGCCGTCTCCGATCACCCTAATCACGCGGAGCCATCTCTGGCCCTGCTTGTCCGCATCATGCAATGACAGTCTCTGGACTTATCAAAATACCTTACCTGCATTAAACTTTGACTTGTGACACTACATCATTGGCATATCAAACTTATCTCTAAACTTTCTGATCTTGATTCTAAGACTATCACAATCTGGCACCTGCAATATCAATCCCCCTTGCAAACTTGATCAAAATCCATTGTGACACCTAGCAGAGGCTCATGACCTTACAATGACGGCGAATGGTAAAGTAGAATCGATGGCCAACGGCAGCACACATCACACCGTCAATGGTGTCAATGGCCGTCTGAATGGCAGTTATTCGGCGGCAGAGGCACCACACAGCACAAATGAGACCTCATCACATGTCCATATCAACGGCACCTCCAACCGTGTCAACAGTAGCTATGTTGATCAATTTGACAATGACACCCCCAAAAAGGATCGCCAGCGGCTTCGTGTAACCATCATAGGTGCTGGGTGAGTAGACAGACCCATGGAATATGAGAGAGAATCTTGGCTTATGGAACTGTGACAGAGTATCCGGTATCTCGATGGGTGAGTCTTGATGATTCTCACTGGCTACTGTCGATCCCGTGGCTGACTGCTCTAAACCACAGCCTACAAACTTCAAAAGCATCTCAAAGACTATGTCAAGATACATATCCTTGAAAAGTCACCTGAACTTGGCGGGACTTGGTTCGAGAACAGATACCCAGGTTGGTACCCCCTTGATATGACCTGCAAAGATGACTTCACTCACTTTCCATAGGCTGCGCATGCGATGTTCCAAGTCACTGCTATCAGTTCAGCTTCGCGCCAAATCCCGACTGGTCACGGTTGTAAGCATGGCATGTCTTCGAGCAAGTAGCATCCGGTAAACTGATTTTATCACGCAGCTATGCTTCATCTCAGGAGATTCAGGCTTATCTTGACGGTGTAGCACGCCATTTCGATCTGCGCAAGTTCATCAAATTCAACACAACAGTGACCAAAGTAGAGTGGTCGGAAGATTCCGGCACATGGTCTGTAAACACCGCGGATGGATCAACGCTCGTATCCGAGATTCTCGTCAACGCCAGCGGCATTCTCAACAACTTCCAAATGCCAAATATTGAGGGATTCGAGAATTTTGCCGGCCCTGTGCTTCACACAGCCAACTGGGATTCGTCCGTAAACCTGGGCGGTCAACGAGTCGGCGTTATCGGGGCGGGCGCGAGTTCCGTTCAACTGCTCCCCGAGATCCAAACAGAAGCTCGCAAAATCAGTGTCTTCATCCGAACACCGTCGTGGATATCTCCGCCGGTAGCCCTGCCAGAGGCCAATCGTCCCGGACACACATACGGCATAGACGAAAAGGAAGCGTTCAGAGAAGATGAGAAGGAGTATCTCGAAACCAGAAAAGGTCTAGAATCGCAGTTCAACGGAATGTTCCAGGCTTTTTTCAAGGCGAATCCAGAGCAGAGAACTATGCGCCAGCGGTTCGAGACGAGAATGAGGAGTCTCATCCAAGACAAGACTTTGCAAGACCAGCTCGTCCCAAAGTTCGAAGCGGGATGTCGACGGATCAACCCAGGGGAGAGGTATCTACTGACACTACAAGAGCCCAATGTCGAGCCGGTGTTTGACGGAATTGAGAGAATCACAGCCAGCGGTATCGTCGCGGGTGGTGTTGAGTACCCTGCCGATGTTTTGATCGCTGCGACAGGCTTCAACACCTCGTTCCGACCTCGTTTCCCGATTCTTGGCCGCAACGGCGTCAACTTGCAAGATCTGTGGGCTGATGAGCCAACATCATATTGCGGGACCGGGGTCTCTGGGTTCCCCAATTACATGGTCTTCCTGGGCCCCAACACACCAATTTCAAACGGAAGCCTCATGGGTACGTCGTCTTTTGAGTAGATGTCATTGTTGTTGAGCGACGACTAAGTAGGTCCTTCCAGGCCCCATCGAGGCGACGGGAGATTACTTTATCAGAATCCTCTCAAAGGTCATCAGACAGCGCGTCAAATCCTTTGACGTAAGACCAGAAGCGCAAAGCGACTTTGATAAGCATACTCAAGAGTTCATGAAGAACATGGTGTGGACGGGCACATGTCGCAGTTGGTGTAAGTAAACAACAACCTCCGAGCACCAACCGCGCTCTCAACTTGAGAAATCGCATTCACTGACAGTGTGTACAAATAGTCAAGAAGGGCGTCACAGGAAAAGTCAGCGCCCTCTGGCCAGGAAGTTCCCTTCACTACATGCAATGCTTGGCTGAGGACCGGTGGGAAGACTACGACTGGCGCTACGACGGTGAAAGGTACTCGTACTGGCGCGAGGGCTTCTCCTGGATCGAGCAGCCCGAGAAGGATCCACTCGGTATCGACCAGCGGGAGTATGCGACGTCCATGACTACCATCCCCCACAGGGCTTCTGATCTCAGCTTCTACCTGCAGAAGGCCGAGTCTCTCCCGCCAGGAGCGGTTGCGTTTGTCCCTCAGGCTCACGAACAGAAGCAGTATGTTGAAGAGGACGTGAAGATAGTGAACAATTTGGAGGGGTCTGGAAAGAAGGATGTCTCAGATGTCGTCAAAGACCAGACTTGTGCGTCTGCTCAGAGTATTCAGAACATCGAAGCTCTCAGACCGAGTGTTATGGTCCCGGTCTAAGAGGCAGGCGGTCATAGATGATTCCTTATATTTGCAGCTTCCTTGCAACCGCGATCGGACTCTGTTAGCATATAATTGTCGGAAATACTAGAAATTAGAGGAATGATTCTAAAGCATCTAGCAACAGCTATGGCGACCAAGTATTTTATGGATATGAAGTAATGCCCAACACTAGAGGAAATCTACAACAAGAAGATATCTAGGAGAAGAAGGATCACCGCCGAGGGGTAAGCTGTGAAGCGTCAAGGGAATTCGGGGCGAGTAGTTCCTGTGGACATGGCCAGTGTAGTCAAATCTTTGATTCACGGGTTCGATTTTGTTCCGTGTGTCTGTGAGTTTCACCGAAGGTAGAAAGGGTAAACGAAATTGGTCGTCGGATACTCGTCCATGTTAGCAAGAACATTTTCAAACTCCATAATTTGCTTACAGGAATTCCGTTGCCTAATCCGGCTCAAGAGAATCAAGACGATGTATCGCGGTATAAACAGCCACGCAGAAGTCTCAGGGCTTAATGAAGAATAAATCGAATTAAGCCCTCCAATTTTTGAACCCTAATTCAACTACGATTAGGTATGATTCTAACCAAGACGGCAATTATATACTATTCAACTCGTGGAATTGGTGTTTTCCACGTACCAGGAACCAAATCACGTCTTACACGCCCAAGAGCCCCCCCATAGGAGTTTATATCTCCACCCCCAGCAAATCATCCCAGTCTTACCCCAGACTTGCCAACCTCGCCAGCAATTCACCCACTTACAATTGATCATGTCCTAGCTTCACCAAAATCAAACCACATGAATTTCAACGTCGTACCTAGCTGAACAGAGTCTCACATTCAAATTCATACATCATTGTCTGGACCGGAACGCGGTCCGGACGTGTGTCATTGTGCAGGACGAAAGTCAAAGTGGGGACGGACCGGTATCTCCGTGGCCCACGGGGACGATGAACCGCATTTCAAGGTGTTCCCACTCCACCACCATCCATCCCCTCCAAACCCCTCCATTCCCCCGCCTTTTGTCTCGACAGACAAGACTAGTTATGGCCTGGCTTGCTCCCACCGATGGCGGGCAACGAAGTGGTAAGCAAAGAAATTTACCGAATTAAGTAATTCTTCCCTGCCCTTTCGCCCCAGAGTTGACATATCACTTAGAATAGCTACCTCGTCTTGCAATACGTACCTACATGCTCCGAAGTAGACAGACCCTGTAAAGAATAGAAGCTTGGTCCCTTCTTCTCCTCTCTTAGTCCACCTGAAATCATCCATCCAAGCGCCATCTCTCCCGTTTTGACTAACACCCATTCCGCACTTCACGAGGCTCTCAAAACAAGCCATGGCTTCATCAATGGAAGTAGAATGCTACCTCCTCTCATCCAACCCAGACGCCCCAAATAGCCCCCTCCCCGTAATCCACTACAGAAACGTCCTCCCGGAACCCCGGAATGAGGAGTCGGTGACGGAGTTCCTGACCCGGAACCGGTGGGAGAAGAGGGTGAGTCTGTCATGATCACATCACAATGTGCAACCTAGACCTCAACTTTCCTTTTCCGCTACCTTTCTCACTTCAAGATCTCTCATCACCGTCACGATAAGTGCCTCAGATATCTAGTGAGAGTAAAACATCCATTCTCAACTGACACTTCCGCGTCCCCGGCAAAAGGGTACCTGGGGCCACATCCCCATCCGCCACTTCCACCCTAACAGCCACGAGTGCTACGGTACGTCCAACTAGACTCATCGCCCCAACCAATATTCTTCCATTCCCTCCCATACCACATCGACTTGATCTCGAGCCGTGAAGGAGAAAGCTCTAGACAAGTATCTAACCAACTCAAAGGCATCTTCAGCGGCTACTCAACCCTCCTAATCGGCAAAATCAACGAAGGCACAGGCCAAGAAATCTGCGTATCGACGGGCGACGTCATTGTTCTCCCCGCGGGCACGGCACATTCTTGTCTCGAGAGCTCGGAAGATTATCGATATATCGGTGTCTACCCCGAGGTCAGTCTATTTACTCCTGTTCACGCTATACTCACCCTTTTCATAACACACCCTGCATCTGTTTCATGCCACCATGCTTCCCTCTTCTTCTCCAGATATACCAATTACCTTTCAGCTACTTTTATTCATCTTAGTAGCCACATCATATAAAACAATGGCATAAGGCAACTAGCTTACACTGTACACATAATCTAGGGTTGTCCAAGATGGGTGAATGAGATGGGCAAAAAGCCAGCCGGTACTTTCAGCCCCGTCATCAGAGATGTAGGCATGCCGGAACGGGATCCAGTATACGGAGTAGATGGGCCGTTGATGAGACTCTGGCATCGGAATGTGCTAGCAAAGTTGTAAAGAGCGGCGATGGAGATAGGAACATTTGTGACGATACACATGATATACATCACTCACGAGAAACGTCACGTAACTTGGTGGGAAGGCTAGTCATTCATCCATATGTGAGCATGCCGTGATAGTTGGTATGATGCTACCCACGCCTCAATCTAAACCTCTGCAATCCTTCTAATCTTCATGCGTCTTTCCTCATCCCATTTCGTACAAATACATGGACAGGTACCCTAATGATACCAAGGGGGCTCGTCTCTACCCTTAGCCCCCGATTACACACGATACGCAACAACAAGAATTTGATAATACAGCAGAGTAGGGGGTTGTGTACTCAGAAAAGTGGTAAAGCGTTTCAAGGTCAGTCATCTGCATCGTCACAAGCTTCACGTTAAAATCCGCAGGCAGCGAACATAACTAAGCGTTAACTCGTGAGGTGTGTGTGGTACTGAAGAAGAAACAAGAACTGGGAAAAAGAGTAAAAGAGAAAAAAAGACATTAGGAAATATTCCTTTGCGAGAGTCGCCCCTCGTATGCGTATGATGCATGCCAATGCAGTCGTCATCGTTTCCCAAATGCCATGTTCGTGATCCTTCCTTCGCCGGTAGGAAAGAGTCCAAAAGAAAAAAAAAAAAGGAAATCCTAGCTGCCTTGTTTTATACGCCTTTGCACTCCGTCTCTCCATGCTATCCCACTGTGGTATCATTCCCCTGGTGGCATGGCCAGGTCAATTACGATCAAATGTAGTGCGCCCAAACGTTGGCAGCACAGGATTCACAGCGTAGAGCCGTTTGCTCGACTTCACAGTAGCCCTACTGAGAGCTCGCTTTACTGAGTAGTGGCAAGCTTCTGGAGAGCTAGCAAGACACCTAGTCACAATTAATACTTGAGTACGAGATTGAGCAGAGAGACAATCAACTTACCGCTCACACCTTGTGTCAATGTCGCACCAGCCTCAGTATTGCGGCTGTGCAAGCTGACAGTTACAACATCCTCGACAACCTTGTCTTCTCCAAGGGCGTTGGCCCACTTGAACACCTTTTCATCCTCACGCCCGTCACCAACGACCATGAGGAAGTCAACAGGGCTCTTGTGTTCCGAGTCAGGGGCCATGTGGACGCGGAGATCATCAAAGATCTTTTCTGCCGCGGTGCTCTTGGTCCAGTCAATGGGCTCAACAACAATGGAGCCATCGAGAGGAATGGCGTGGACACGCTGTGCCTCGCATGCATCGTTGACATGACTGGCACAGTCTCCAGCCTGGCGGGCCGCGGACTCGTAATCCTCGGCGCTCTTGTAGTGGAAGATCAAGCTGCAGCGTCGCTCTTCGATTTCAGCACCGGGGGTACGCTCGAGGAAGTAAGTCATGATGGACTTGACGGACTCTTTCCAGCTGGAAATCTGCTCTCTGTCGGCCATCTCCTGCCAGGTGTTCTTGCCGCAGTCCTTGAGGAAGCAGCCGTTCTCCGCAATGAGACCAAGGTTGGGTACGCGGCGGAACAATCGGTCGAGCTCTTCCGGGCGACGGCCGGACATGATATAGACGGTGTTGCGCTCATCGAGCAGAAGCTCGTTCAAGACATCCAGGGTACGCTGCTCCAATTAGACTTGTTAATAAAGCAGAGGTTCTTGAAAGGATTCTTACCTGAGGGCTGACAGGGATGATCTGGTTCATTGGGCCCCAACTAACCAAAGTGCCTTCATAGTCGAGGATAAAGAGGCGTCGATTGCTGCGAGAGTATCGCTGAGCCAGAGTGTTGATGTTGAGACGCGGGACCGAAGTTTGGTCGTGCTTGTGTTGCTCGTCGTATACGCGATCGAGGCGGGATAAGAATTCGCTGAACCAGTGCGATCCAGTGTGGTGCATGACGGCCGAGTAAAGCGCAGTCCAGCGGCGTTCCTTTTCTTCCTCGCCCATCTCGAGTGCTGTCTTGATCGCGTCGGCGCATTGGCGGTAGTCCCAGGGGTTGACCGAAAGCTCGTTGCCGCCAAATAGCGACGATGTACCAGTGAATTCGGACAGAATTAGCGAGCCATGCTTCTTCTCGGAGAAGACCTCGCCATCTTGGCAGAAGAGATACTCGTGCGATGTCAAGTTCATGCCCTCGCGCTGGCTCGTGATCATCAGAGCATCGGCCATGGTCAACAGGGCAAGGTACTGGGGGTAGTCGATATCCTGCTTCAAGTAGACGACGGGTTGGTAGGCCAGGTTGGCCCAGGAAGAGTTGACTCGGGTGACAATGTCACTAACAGTCGCATCCAAATCAGACTTTTCGCTACCGGAGAGGGCGACTTGGATAAGGACAATCTTGTCGCGCCATTCAGGATTCTTGTTCAGGAACAGCTCGTAGGAAAGAAGCTTCTGACGAACGCCGCGAACGTGGTCGAGCTTGTCGCGAGCTACAATGAGCTTCTTGCCCTGGTAGCGCTCCTTCATGATCTCGACCCATCTCTTCACATCGTTGTCGCCGCGGTGTTCGCTAAGGTTGACAGGATCAATGCCGATGGGCAAATTAACCACGTCGACAAAACGATCCTCCAGCTGCAGGCCATCGGTGGTTGCTTCGACACTCAGCAACCTGCTGCAGGTCTGCAAGAAGTGACGAGTGTACTCGTGGATCTGGAACCCAATGAGGTTGGCACCCAACATGCCCTCGAGAAGCTGCTTGCGCACGGCCAAGCATCTGAAAACCTCGGAAGAGGGGAAGGCAACGTGGAGGAAGAAGCCAATCTTGGCGTCGGGCAGCTTCTTGCGCACCATGCCGGGGACGAGCAGCAGGTGGTAGTCGTGTACCCAGATAACGTCGCCGCGCTTCCAATTCTTAACAATCTTGTCGGCAAAGGCCTGGTTGACGTTGACGTAGTACTTCCATGAGTGATCCTCGAAGGCCTTGCTCTTGGGGTTGTCGGGGATCTGGTAGTGGAAGACGGGCCAGAGAATCTGCTTGCAAAAGTGCGAGTAGTGGCCGTCAAAGTCCTTGTCGGAGCAGAAGACGGTCAGCATGTCGTGCTCGGTGGCGAGCCTGTCCTCGATGTCCTGCTTCTGCTGGGTACCCTCGAGGGCGTCGGTGGGCATGCCGAGGGTGCCAACCCAAGTGTATTCTCCAAGCTTGCCATCGCGGGCAGCGGCCTCGGCGGCGTTGCGCAAACCACCGTTGCCCTGGTCGGCGTTCATAACGCGCCAATTGGCGTGGGAAAAGACCCGGTCATGGCTGTCGCTTCTAACGAGCGGCCTAGGCTGGGTGATGCCCTGACGACCAAGTTCTCTAGCCTTCTCGAGGGTGCGACTGTGCTCGGCGATGAAGGCAGGCGGGGGCGAGCTCGCGCGGGACTTGGGCTGGGTGGCTCTAGCACCCCACTTGGGAGAACCTTTGTCGATTGGCGCACCACGCTTGCGCTCTTCGTCGGGGAATATACGGAAACCGTCCTCGTTCGTGAAGGGATCTTTCGGGACAACGTCTTCGGTCGGGGTAATGGGAGGTGTAATGTCGCGGATCGGGTTGAAGAGACTGGGTTGGCTGTCGCCTTCGGTTCGCTGGGACTTGTCGGACTTTTTGGCGCGGCGCAAAGGATCGCCACGTTGAGGCGTTCCGGGGAGGGCGAAGTGGACGGTTTTAGGGAGAAATCTGGACGTTGGCAAATTAGTTCTTGATCTTGCATGACAAGGCGATCGAAATTGAAGCCCAGCAGCCGGTGGGAGTCTTGAATGGTTGCATGAGAAGCATCTGCGCAGAGGGGGGTATCCTGGCAGATACTTCGCTGGCGTCGATGTGACGGAAAGGCAAGTAAAGCAAGCATTTCATATTCTTGAGGCGGAGGAGAGCTTACAATGATGCGATAAATACCGTCATGTTGGGCAATCTGGCTAGTGGCTAGCCGTCTGTGTCGTGAGAAAGTGGGAAAAGGCCTCGGGGAGGTAGATGGTCCGGTTTGGAAGAGGCCGCCGAGTGATGGCAAGGGATGGAGGTTGAATAGAAGTTGACGAGGAGGTCGAGACAGAGGAGACGGGTAGCTTCTAGCAGCTTTTCGTAGGGCAGAACATGTGGGAAGAGTCAAAGTGGTGTGTGGTTGAAAAGATCAAGTGAATGTGTTCTGGTGAGAGGTTTCTCCGTTGTCAAGGCGAGGGAGAGGAACCGAAGGCGAGGTGACGTTGTTCGTTTGTAACAAGGTACCTCTTGCTGAGAAAAAGCCCCTACAAAAGGACGGGATGGTGGATGAACAGACGGAGGGGTGTGTGTTTGTGGCTGAGGTAAAATGTGGGAGAGCAGTGAGAGGTGATTGGATTGATGCTTGTCTCAGACACAGCCGTAGGTGAAATGTGAGTGAGGATTCCTTTAGGTGTCAGGTAAGAAAAGTGAGGATGTAAAGGACTGGAAGATGAGGCGAGGGAGAATTTGGAAATAAAGAGCTGCCGGGAGCTGTGCAATTGTAGTTGCTGCTGTGGCTGCTGCTGCTGCTGCTTGCTGTATTGCTGGGAGCTGCGCAAAATGTACCGTCAGCTTTGAGCTTTTTATTTTCTTGGTTAATCAAGTGCTGGTCCTTGTCCCCGGACCAGCCAGAGCCTGAGCCTTGCGTAATGTAAAATAGCACTGGCTGACACTGGGCTGGGCGGAGGCGCATGCGTCAGGGAAAACACAGGAAACGGTTGGGCCAGTGAGCGATGCAGCTGCGAGGAATCGATCGGGGTGGGTGGAGGGGGAAAAGGGAACAGTGGAAACAGAAGAAGTGAGGATAATATGACGGGTACGGAGAGTGTTGTTTGTGTGTCTACTCTGGTGTGTCTGTACAGAGTATCGTGAAGCGTTTGTCTTGTGTTCTTCTTCTTTCTTCTCCACGATGTTTCGGCATGCAACGTTTTCTCGAGAATATTCCAAAGTGGGGTGGGAATGCCGCTCTCTCGGTCTTTTTTCTCAAACTTTTTCCTTCTCTCACCCTCAACCCTGGGCGAAAAAAAGTCACGATGAGAGGGTGGGATTGGACGGGATGGGACAGGACAGGACAGGACGGGGATTGTACTTTAGTGCGAGTTTAAGGTGAGGGTGAAGTGGATGTGGTGTGGGCGTGGTGGATGTTGAAATTTGACTGGACTGTCACTGACCGGGAGAGCTGCAAGTGTGAAAATGTGGATGGAGCAGCGGGATTGGCCCGGAGGGAACTGGACGGACTCGACTGGGGTGAAGGCTGATGATGATGGGCTGGTGGATGGTCCAGGGGTGTGGAAGCTCTCGGGATGGATTGCAACTGCAAGAGCCTGGAGAGCACGGGAAGTGGAATTGTGAGGATGAAATGATGAAAACCGTCTCCTTGCTGTGTACTGAAGGCATGGGCTGGGGAATGACGGACTGCAATGAAGCAAGCGTAGTTTTTGAAGGTGACGCCATTCGCGGAACGGCCCAGCCCACTCACTTATTCTCTCATTCACTCACTCATCCGATTTTCTCTCTCTGTCTTTCTCTCTAGCCCTCTTACTCTTAGATAACCGGCTGTTTGAGGCCACGAGTGAGATGAGAGAGGTGGAAAGTGAGAATGAGATGAGGGTGAGGATGAGGTTGAGGATGAGAGTGAGAGATAAATCTGGCCGGGAAAGGAAAGAACAAAACAACAAGGTGGACGGACGGGAAGCAACTGCCAACGGACGAGGAACGTCACTGACGTAATGAGGAAACCGAGCTACGTACCCAGGACTCCTAAGCCTTGAGCTTTGAGGCGACGAATGCGAGTGGAAGCTAACGCAGTGCACGGAGACGTACCGTCGACAAGTCGAGACTGCGCAAAACGAGGCTAATGCACGCCGTCTACCAAGACGGAACCGGAGAGATACTCAGAGTCGATGTGTACCTCTTCGTATTGCGGGATAAGTGCTGGACAAGAGAGAGCCTGGAGAGGCAGCTGCAAGATGAGATGCAGCGGGCAAGGTAGACGGGACCTCGAGCCTAGAGATAGAAAAGAGGCTGCCGCTAGCCAGAGAAGCTACCTTGATTCGAACCGGCTATGCGCTCCCTGCGATTGGTAGGTATTCGTATGGTAGATTGTACTTTGGGTAGCTCGTCCGTAGCTTTGGTTGGATTTTGTTGGCCTTTGAGGCTTGCGTGGTGGTTGTGGCGGTGGTGCTATGTTGAGAATCCCGTTGAACCTGTCTTTTTTTGATTCTTGAGGAAATAGGATTGTAGATTATTTCCCCTGATTTTCTAATCTGAGTATGTTTCGCGTTTCGGGTCTGGTCATCAGCGTCCTTCGACTTTTTCTTCGCGGCGTCAAATGTCGTTTTAAGTTGGGCGCCCCGGGGTAGGGTGTTCCACGTCGCAACAGCGATGCACCCTCGACACTGGAGACCGGGTGAACGGCTAGGTAGACGGGGGGAGCTCGACCTCGAGCGAGGGAGGGGTGGGATTGGGAAGTGTGGATGGGTTGGGTTCAATGGGTTGGCCAGCTGCAGCCCTGGCAGTCGACAACTGAACGCACGTGTGGAATGCGACGGACCCGACGGGCCCACGACGGAGCAGACGTCCGGGAGAGTGGACGGCGATGTTCAGAGAAGGGCGACGAAGATGATGAAGTGGACGACGATGAGGCCGAAGACTGGAGAAGATGGAGGGACGCTGAAGGTGGGCGGTAATGCTGACGACGATGCTGAGTTGTAGTGGATAGCTTTAGGAGGTTTTGTTCCGCCAGAGGATCCAACTACACGGAGTATTTTGGTTTGCAGATGCTCGATGAATTCTGAGCTCCAGAAGGTGACGGAGATGGCCCAGGGTAAATCAAGGAAGAGCCGAGAAGATCAAAGAGCTAGTGTGGGGAACGAGAGGACGAGGGACGGGAAGGGAATCGAAGATCGGGATGGCAGGAGACTTTTAACTAGTCACACCCTCACGGCTCGGGGGTGATACTGCGTGGAAGATGGAAGAGCATGATTGAAGAATCCAAGGTAACTCAGTGATCTTGTCCCATTTTCCATGTCTGTCCTGTTCTGCCCGTCCCTCCTCCACATCGCTGAGTGTGAGATGCCGCTTTCATCCTACCCTAACCACCCCCCCCCCCTCGAGATAGCATGCAACACCATGCCACGCCATGCAACGGACATTTTCTACGGTTCCAGAGCGAGCGGACGATGGGGCCCAGGCCAGCCGCCGTCTCGTCTGGGAAAAGCTCAATGTGAGAAATGCAACGTCTCTCCTTCTCGGTGAGGCCTCTCCTTATCCGCGTCTACTAGGTAAAGAGGAGGAAGTACAACTGTGTACATTGAAGTTGGTGTTGCCCATCACTTGTTGCTGTTGTAGTCTGACAACTTGACAAGCATGTTTCCCACCAGAATAGAAAGGAAGCTTGTCGCCGTTGGTGTATCATCCCTGAGCAACACCACCGAAACAGAATCCTACCTCATGCGGGAAGAATTGGAAGAAGCCAGGTGCCGCGATGGCTACTACCGGAACGGATTCGCGGTACGAACATCACCACCCTAGCTAGACCTTTGCCATACTCCGTCCAGTACGTATCCGCAGAGACACCTCGGTTTCCGTGCCGCTGTGACTTTTCAGAATCTTGGGGCTGACAGGGATGGTGATGCTGCCCATCTTCCCTGGTCAGTGGTCCCAAGGCAACGTCAGGGATCCTTCGGGAATGACTGGACGGAAGCCACAGCGCCGCCAAAGGACTGGCCAGTTTCGACAGCCATGTTCCTCATTTTACAGGCACCTAGCGAACCACCAAAGGCTGCTCCGTAGCTGACCGGACGACCGAAAGGTTTTCTTATTACCCCAGGGTTCAAGACATTGAGACACGGTGGCGTGCCAATGATTGAAGAAAGCCAAAGCTGGGAAGCGCAAAAGACAAAAAGGCAAATATGACTGATGATGGACTAATGATGTGTCGTTCCTTCAAGGCCGACAGGAGCCGTGAGTATGACCTTTATCGTCCATCATCAGCCGGGACTCAAAGCATCACACTGCGAATGGTCGGATTCTCTCATTTGTGACTAAAAGAACTCCCTTTGGTCAAGCTTTCGGTCTGAAATTTCAACATGTCAGACCAGGACTGGCCGGCCTGGACTGTGCTCACTCAAACACTCGCTCGCTCATTCACTCCTATCATGAACAGCACGAGCCAGTAGGAAGATGATGCGCTTCGTGACCCTGGGTTGGGTCTGCTGATTTCATGTTGCCATCAAGATTGTCGAGACAAGCCCGCTTGCACCCCTTCTTACCTCGTTTAGTCCGCCTCGTTCAAGCTGAAGGGGCATGAACTGAGACTCATGTCATGGACGCTCTTTTCAACAGTGTTTCTTGCCTCTCTCTCACCCCTACTGTCACGTCAATCAACCAAGTGCAACGCGCCAACAAGCCACTGCTATTTGGTGAGGTACACTTGCTAGATTGGCACAAACGGGGAGCGGAAGGGGCCCCTTTCGCGGGAAATGGAGACGAAAATACAAGCTTCTGACGTCTCTCTCACATCTTCGTCCAGTCTCTATCATCGCAGCCCCCTCTTCTTCTTGACCTTCACCTTGACTCCTCTTTTCTCCTTTGGGTTCGAATGAGGGGGAAACAAAAGACAAACACTAACACTAAACAATACCACCACCACCATCATAACCATCACTACGACCACCTTGTTCATCTTTCTTCAGCAGCAGCTCCAACAAATCATCACTGCCAGCCAGCCACCACATCGCCGCTTAGTTTTGCCCGACGAGATTCGGCACGAGCATCGATCACCACCACCATGGCCATCACCAGGTCCTCCAATAGCTCGGCGATACTACCGAGCGAGGACGTTCCCTTCCCTGAGAGCGTTGCCGCCCACCACCCTGGCGCGCAGACAAGCGTTGTTCTACGGTACAGCACGCCTGCACATCAACATCGACGCCGCATATGCACCTCGTGCGACCCCAGCACAGCCCGATATTCAGAGATAACCTGGTGCTTCGCCTTACGACGAACAAAACCCTTTGGATTGACGATACGCCACCCTGGGTAACCCATCCACTCGCCGCCCATCGCGTGGCCACCCTTTGACCACACGTCTAAGCACGCCTCGCTGACGAAATCCTCAAAGCTGAGATGAATGATACTCCGGGCGGTTGTTTGTCGCCTGCAGCGCCTCCGATAGACAACTTTGAGATCTTGTCATCGTCGTGGAGCATTACGTTATTGATCCATCTGCCGTCAAGGAGGACTCCCTCGTAGCACCGCCAGAGAGCTTCAACAACCATTACTACGGGCCACGAACTAACATCGCATATTCCCTGGCAATGGTAATCCGAGAGGTTGTCCCCTGGCCTCCGTTGCCCACGTTAGACCTGGTGCAACGCGGAACCCCAAACTCAATACATCATGCAAGCTCTTAATTCCACCATTTTAGGCTCTCAAGCAATGCCTGGTTGGTGTCGCCCAGTGTTGGGAGAGCTCTACAACAAGCTGAACAAAAGACAGCTTGGGACCAGCATGGTCTTGATTGAAGCTTGTGCAGTTTGACCGAGCGGCCAAAGCAACCTTCCAAACATTTTTCTTCTTTTTTGGCTCCCATGTCATGCTTCTACACCTTGGGTGGAATCTCTGGCTCTAGCCGGGCCCCTGGTCCCTGTGGAGTTGGGCTCGCGTTCCACGTTTTTGTCTTCTTCTTTTCTCCTGCCTTTCTCCCTCTCTGTTTCTTCATCGCTCAATACTTTTTATGGACCATTCTGATATGGAGCAGCTTGTTCATGTGACAGGAGGCCCCCCTTGAAACTAAAAAGGGACTCGGGGAGAGCTCCAACTTTGTCTCCATCTTCAGAGATCTAGTCAATCACCCGGCCAGTTCGGCCCAGCTTCCCATCCACCTTCATCCACCGAAGCGGGTGTGGCTCAACAGTGCCCACTTCGATCTTGAGGTTCGGAGAGACCACGGCGCGGGGAAACTTCGCTCTGGGTTTTCGGGTTCCATTAGGATGCGTCTTATGAAGAAATTCCACAGGAACCCATGTCTACCCTCTACAGGCCCTATCATCGTTCAGGCTATCGCCCACTCTCACAGTCATCCTTAGAAGCATGTGCTTCCTGCAACAGTCCCAAAGGAGCGACTCGCCAGCAGATATCCAGGCAAGCCGTAACCTCGTCTGCCCCAACAAGGCGGAGACGGCGAGGGCCCGACAGCCTAGAGCACCGAGAGGTCCGAACCTGAACCAGGACGCGTGTTGCTAAAAGTTTGGGCTATCGTGCAGCGCACCTGGGGGGCTGTACTGGTGTGTCGACTTATCATTACCTCCACGAATTCTTTGGAGGCCTCGGGAAATGGCTGAGGAGCGACATTGGCCCCCTTGTTCCTGCTTACCATTCTTCACGATGCAGCCACAACCGAAGCGCGATATTACTGAGCCTTGGTCCCTGGAGTTGTCAGTCCACACACTCACAACAGTGCCATTCGCGTTGGGCAATATGCCATTGCCAAGGGTCGGCGCACTGGCAGGCCTTTCGCTGCAACGCCGATCGGCAACTAGTACGGCAATATAAGCTCGGCTGTGAGTCTCTCCTATCGCTAACCGCTTTGCTTGTCAACGTTTAGGTTGGGCACCAGAACCAAATATCACCAAGTAAGAAATGCCTCAACAGCGGCCGTTCAACCGAAGTGGCTGTGACTCTGAGAGTTGTAGCGGCCCAATCAACCTCGGGGCGAAAGAACTGGTTTCGAACATGAAGTCTTCCCTCCAGTCAAAGCTTTCATGTCAACCTCGTGGCATCCCACAACACAATCCACAGGAGAAATCCACAGCTTGATTCACTTCAACTCCAAATCGATGTCCCATCCTTCCCCACACAATGAGACCCCAGTCCAAACGACATGTTCCCCTCACATCAACCGCAGCCGCGCTGCACCCCATTTCTGTTCTATTCCTTCGATCTAAACTTCTCAAGTCTTCCTGGACACCCTCATTGATACTACATCGCCGACCACTTCGATAGCACGCGCCGGTATATCCCGATGGTGCAGTGGACACTCAGTCCTTCTTGGTTCTATAGGCTGAATGCAAGACGACAGAGAATCATCCCTTCGGCGCCCAGCGCGTCTCAGAATCAACTTGATCGAACAAGGCGCCGCTGAGGTGACTGAGAACAGCTAGTCGATTGCTCGACTGTCCGCCACATTATGCCTCTCCTCTCTAGGCGCCAACTGCAAACCAGCCGCTTGGCATATGCTCCCTTGTCTAGACACGGAAAAAGAAACATCATATATGATAGAATTTCCCCGCCCATCTCGTTCGAAGCCACCATCCCAGGCCCTGGGCTCGAAGTACAGCTCAGCCGGATCTTGGTCACTCCGTGTCAAGTCGGTCCAACAAGGAACATTTGAATCCCTCCCCGATGTTCCAGGACCACACGTTTGACACTCTGTCCGGATTTTGACAGTGTTCAGAGGTCAAGCTGAGGATTGAAGATTCAAGCACTAGTAATGCACCTCCATTAGCGCTCCGCCCGTCAGGCAAAGCACCAAACGCCCCGGTTCGACTCGGTGACGGCGCTGCCTGGCCTCACTCGATACTTTTACTAGGGGCGGCCCGGCCCTGTAGTTCCGCCATAGCACTGGGTAAGGTAGCCACGAAATAGTGTGCACTTCCATGCACCGCCGATGGGATGCCATCATGCTCATGCCAGAACGAACCGATGGGACAGCCCAGATGCACATCCCATCAGCACACCGGCGGCACGGGATTTCTAGCCCAATCTGGATTTCAGATGGTCACGTTTGCCCATGGTGCGGAGAAGGACGTAAGGCAGTACATATTCTTTCTTTAGGATACATGATAAGCTGTTGTTGGGGAAGAGGGACGGGCCAAAGATGGAACGATCGGGTTTGACGGACTAATGCCAAGGGCCCATCGCAGAGGTGCAATCGCATGCAGGCCGCGACGACGTGCAGCAGAGCATTCTCACTCTAGAAGGGATCTTCGGTACGCCTGTTCGTGCTGTCGCTTTCGTTCAGCCTCCTTCTGCCTACACAGATATTTAGGTGTTTGCTGATTGGTGCCATGGGATGCCATGCTTGGAGACTACAGTATGCAGGGCATCCAATCCCATGGCTCGCTCAACCACAGGTACACATGGCGAATAGCACGTCTATCTCCATTCCTGACTTAGAAATTGACGAGGTCTGAGGAATGTTGGGATGTAGCAACAAGTCATTGCTGTCCTTGCGGTTGAGTGATGGCGGTTTAATTCCCGCCAGCGCACATCCTACACGTGGATCAGTGTGGTGGGTATATGGTGATCATTGCTAGTGCCTGGGCTGCATGCAAAGGCAAAACTCGTGTTGCTCGACATTCGACGACAATGACACATCGGCAATACAGTAAGTCTGAACCTCACGACTCACATGAGCTGTCTTGATTGTGTCCTCGATCTTGCGAAGTCACCCTATTGTGGACTTGCCCTGTATTCATGATAAGACCTCGGCTAAGGGGAAACAACCTGATCTGATCTCCCGGCTTGTTCGGCTACGAATCATTGCCATGCCTTGTTTCTCCCCCCTCCCTTTGTCCCGACTCCCGACTAGAATCCGCGATTATGCTCCGATTCCAGGTTCCCGTTAGTCCGTAAGTGGGGCCGATGACATACAGTTCGGATGGATGGAGTGAGACTGGGTTCGGTGGGGGCTGAGGCTATTCGGGAGAGCGAGTGGGTTTGAAGGCTGGCTTGGATTTACAGCAAGTATGAACTCGCTAGACGCTATTTCATCAGCAGCCATGATCACT